AAGAGTCAAAAACATAAAAAAAAAAAACTTGCAGCATTTTGTAAATTTTAGAGAGGTCTCGAAGGATGACAAGTTCTCAACACGTTAAAACTTTCTTAATTGCTAAGGTGCCTTTAATATTTAAACAAGAGTTAAAGTTTTGTCATTCATCAAGACTTTCATTTAGTTGAAAATTTTACAACATGAAATAGGATTTAGAAAATTTTTTTCTTCAAAAACTCTCTTTCTTCGCGCTTGACGTTTATTGTCCCCGAGACGTGGTATTATTTTTTTTGCACGTGACATGACAATTTGCTTAACACACTGTAAAAGTTAAACAGCTTTTGCTTATGTAAATTGTCTTAAATGCTTTATGTCACTATCGTGTAACTTTCTTTTTCTTCTAGAAAAAGAAGGTCAGAAAGAAAAACAAAAATAAAAAACTCATTTATAACACAATCGAAATAATTCTTCTTATTCTAATAATAAAATATTTACTCTAAATTTGAATCAGTTAGAAATCATAGTTTTAAGTACTAACAGTGACTGACTTTTTGCTTTCAGTTAAAATTAAAAATGTCAGTGAAACAATAAGTAATTTTCAGTAAATAATGACTGAAAAATTAATTAAACTTGACTAATTGAATCAGTGAAAAAAATACCGAAAAATTAATTATTTTGAACTGATTTAAATTTAGAGAGTTCGTATTAAAGTGGATAATTTAAAAATAAAAATTTCAAAAATATGAAATTTATGTTTGTCACTGTACGTGATTGAAACGTTCAAATCGTTTATCAATTGAATCAGTAAATCAACTAACACTTTAGTATTTTATGACATCAACTTGTATAAAATCTTGTACTTAGTACCACCTGTATAGGAAAGAGATTTCACGCAGCTATATATATATATGTATATAGGAAAATGTAACTGGAAATCTGAAACTTTTTTGCAGAACTGAAGATTTATCTTTTCCAGCTTGGGAGTTCAGTTTCTTTTTATGGGCACGACGACCATCATGGATTTTCGAATGGTTCTCCACCGTTTTAAGAATCATTACTCAAAGTATAATTCTCTTTTTAATTTCTTTTCTCGAAAAAGATTAATGATAACATTTCTTTTTAATGGTATATAAATGTAATCAAGTAAACGAGAAACAGTAACGGTAATCTGATTATAAAAATCATAATAAATAAATGCAAAATAAAAGGAAGAAAAATTCCGTCTATTCATAATCTCAACAAAATTATTCGTTTAATTTAAAATTTATCGTGAAATACTCACAGTGAAGAATATTTTTTTCAAAAATTACTTTCAACGAAAAATACTTTCCAAAAAAAAAAAATACTTGCAGTGAATATTTTTATTGAAAACTACTTTTAACGAAAAATACTTTTATCGAAAAAAAATTTTATCAAAAAATACTTTTATCGAAAAATACAATTATCGAAGAATACTTTCAACGAAAAATACTGTTTTTAAAAAAATACTTTTATCGAAAAATACTTTCAACAAAAAAATACTTTTTTTGAAAAATACTTTCAACGTAAAATACTTTTAATGAAAAGTATTTGCAGCGAAAAATCTTTTTATCGAAAACAATTTTTATCAAAAAATACTTTTATCGAAAAATACTGTTATTGAAGAATTCTTTCAAAGAAAAACACTTTTAACGAAAAATACTTTCAACGAAAAATGTTTGTATCGACAATGAAAAAACTGTCATGGAAAAATACTTTTAACAAAAAACATTTTGAACGCAAGATACTTTCAACGAAAAATACTTTAAATGAAAAATATTTTCAATGAAAAATACGTTCAGCGAAAAATACTTTTAATGAAAAATACTTGGAGCAAAAATTATTTTTATCGAAATATTCTTTCAGCGAAAAATACTTTTAACGAAAATAAATATTACCACAAAATGCTTTTAACGAAAAATACGTTTATCGAAAAATACTCCTATGAAATAAAACTTCCCACCAAAAAATACATATTTTCTATCCGAAAATTCGATACATTACATTGCACAAGGAAATGGTAATTATATTGTTTGTCGACGACGTTGAATTGTGTATACACTTTGTAAGTACTTGTCAGCACACATTGCCATGTCTTGAATCAAGTTTGCTCGAGTTTCCCGCCAAACATAGTTTCCCTTTAAGAGCAGAAAATACATAAACACAAAATGTCGTACAAAACAGAAATAGCTATTCAATTTTTTGTCTTTTTTCTTTCTTTTTTTTTGGTTCCTTTTTTTGATACGCTTACAAGTGAGTCACTTTAGAAAAAAAGCGAAAATGTTTTCCAACAAAATTGCCGTTAAATCTATTAGAAAAATTAAATGAATATTAATTTTCAATATAAACGCATGGGATCAATTATTATTATCCGGCTCGTGTAAAATTCAAATTGATCCACACCCTCCTCATCGAAGTGCAAAGTTAACGAATCAGAATGATTCGAATAACGAGCTGCAATAATTAAAGAGGGAGAGACTTTAAATCTTTAATCGATATTAGACCAAAAAAAAAAAAAATTGAACTTATTTAAGTTTTTACGTCAGTTAATTTTTTTAATTAAAAAAAAAAAGAAAAAAGAAATCGATTCTATATACTGTCTATCTCTATGTGTTGAATATTAATTACAATTGATTCTGAAGTTTATGTAAATTTATTTTAAGACCAAGTTTAATATCCTGGGGTACGAAATATATATATACTTTTGCATATATGTACATATGTATATATATATGTATATATATGTATAAAAGTATATATATATATAAAATGTAGAATTCTGGATTAAATTGGTTTGACCTGAAACCGAATTTCAGCAATTTATATTTCTCAATATCCAGTTGGGAAAATAGTTTAACAAAATGATTCATTTTTCAGGGAATTTAATTTCTTTTTTCCATTCTTGCTCACTACTCTCGTTGATGAAATGAAGTTTCAACGTTTATTTAAAGAAAATTCTATTTTTAAGTCACAATTGTCATAATTTTCCGTTTATATAAAATTTTTTCGTTTTAATTGAAGTTTTTCTTTTTTTACTTTCACTTTCAAAGCTAATTGGAACAAAATTAGAAAACCGTGAAAGGGTTTTTATAATATAGTATATTTTTATAATTGATGCTCTCAATAAAAAAAAATTTATTTGATTCAAATAACCGATTACTTGACTATTAATCAATTAAATATTTACTTAAATCAAATAATTTTTATTTGAGTCAATTAAACGGTATGTGCATCAAACATTGAAATTATTGATCATCGTCTTCAGTTATAAAATTATTTTTATTATTATTATTATTATTATTATTATTATTATTCAACTTTTTTCATTTTTTCAGTAGTAGAAGTAAATTATGAGTCAGACGTTTATTCCATTATTTACATTAAGTAATATATTATTCGCATTATTATAATATTAATATTATCGCTTTAGTAGTAGAAATAAATTATTATTCAGACGTAACTTTATAATTATAATTCAACATTTTTTCACCGTTTCAGTAGAAGAAGTAAATTACTAGTCCGACGTATATTTATTATTATTTATTTAAGTTCAAGTAGTAAAAGTAAATTACTAGTCAGACGTATATTAACTATTACTATTATTATTAATATAATGCTTATTATTATTATAATTATTATTACTTAACGTTTCTTAATTGTTTCAGTAGTAGAAGTGAATTATTAGTCAGACGTACATTTATTATTATTATTTTTCAACGTTTCAGTAGTACAAGTAAATTATTAGTCAGACGTACATTTATTATTATTATTACTTAACGTTTTAGTAGTAGAAGTAAGTTATTAGTCAGACGTACATTTATTACTATTATTTTTCAACGTTTCAGTAGTAAATGTCAATTACTAGTCAGTCATATATTTATTTTTATTATTAATCGTTTATTAATCGTTTCAGTAGTAAAAGTAAATTACTAGTCAGACATATATTTATTAGTATTTAACTTTTCTTTGCGGTTTCAGTAGTAGAAGTAAATTATCAGTCAGACGAATGTTATTATTATATTGTTATTATTACTGTTATCGTTTCAGTAGTAGAAGTAAATTATTAGTCAGACGAATATTATTATTATCATTATTATTAATGTTATTGTTTCAGTAGTAGAAGGAAATTATTGGTCAGCTGTATATTTATTATAATTATTAAACATTTTGCCATTGTTTCAGTAGTAGAAGTAAATTACTAGTCAGACGTTTGTTTATTATTATTATTATTATTTTTTAACGTTTCAGTAATAAAATTCAATTACTAGTGAGTGGTATATTTATTTTTATTATTCAACGTTTCTTAATCGTATTTCAGTGGTGGAAATAAATTACAAGTCAGACGTATATTTCGCGCCAAAACAGTTCATAAAATTTCCGTCTAGATGGCAAGAAAACTTGCTCATAAACGAAACGAAGTGAATCTTGTTTTTACAAGATTCAGGAAATATTATCAGGAAGATAATATTTCCTACTATACAGATAGTATATTTGATTATGTGTTTTTTATCTATTTTGTTTTAACAATCCTTTTTTCTCTAAGTATAAAACATGAAGATATCGATCATTTCGAGTCGAAGACTCGGAGTGATCGATATCTTCATGTTTTATATTTTTTTAAATTTTTAATTATTTTAAATATACAAGGGGCCTTTTTTAAAAAAAAATACGATTATTTTTTAAATATAGGACAAATTATGAAAAAAATTATGAAATTGAGAATTTAGTTAGTCCTAAATAGGACAATTTCAAAAAGATAATAGAACAAATGAAGAGGAAAATAAACATTATTGATAAAAATTGTGGAGCAAAATTGAAATTGTGACTAGAATAGAGAATGTATTAATGGATCATAGAAAATAGAATTGATACTCTCTGTGTTCCAATCAAGAGAGTACCACAGAACTTCATTACTTTTCCAACTCGACAATGTTTCAGTATGATATGCTAATTTTAATACTACAGTACCAACAGCTGGTTCATCAATTTGCTCGACTTACTTGGAATATACCAAACGCTGTGCCGAGGTGTTCATTTGTCCACACGACCGTCGTCACGATCATTACCGCCTCTTTTCACTTCCTTTTTTTTTGCCACCCACGTTTTCACCACCTCATTCTCTTTTTATCTTCTTTCCTCCTCCTCCTTTAACCAACTGTGTTCGCCTTTTTTTTCTCTTTCACCACACAATGACTATGAACCAAATATGAAAATATGAAAAATCATGCTAAACATTGTAGAAAACAATTTCTATTAACCCACATGGTGGATTTTAATTAACATATTTTTTTCATTTTAAAAAAATGTCTATTTTTCAAAATAAAATGATTTTCTAAACACTAGAAATTAAATAAAAATCCAAGTAAGAGGAAAAAATCTAAAATCTCCAGGTTCTTTGGAACATTTTATTAATTTGTTTGCACTATTTTTCTTTAAAGGAAGAAAATTCTGAATATTCCTGTTGAGAATTTTGGCCCAAACGCGTCGACCTGCAGTGAGAGACTGAGAGTAAGAGTCGCGCAATTTGAGAGTGGGAAGGAGAGTGAGAGAGAGAGAAAGAGATGAATGTAATAGTGGGGGTTGAATGGAGATGAATTCCGAAAGAGAGGGATGATAAAAGAGGTGTTGCTGGAAAAAGATGACAGAAGAGTTTGGCGATAAAGGCGAAAGACAACTGGAAATTTATATGAACAAAAACAAAAACCAACAAGAATAAGACTGATGCAAAATTCGTCAAAGAAAAAACCAAACAAATTAAATAGAAACGGTCAGATTGAGTTAGACAAGAGAAATGAGACTTTGAAAGGAAGAGAAATATACTCCGCTTTTGTTTATATCCAGGAAAAAAAGGGGGAGAAAAAAAGTGAAGAAGGAGAAGGAAATAAAAAGAAAAAAAAGGTAAAAAAGGTAGAAAAAGGTAAAAAAGCAAAGAAAAAGATAAAAAAGGACAGAAAAAGAAAAAAGAGGAAAGATAGAGGTAAAAAAAGGAAGAAAAAGGGAAAATAGGAAGAAAACGGTAAAAAAGAAAAAAGGGAAAGAAAAATGTAAAAGAAAGGAAGAAAATGGTAAAAAAAGGAAAAAAAGGAAAGAAAGAAAAAAAGAATAAAACGGAGAAAACAAAAAACAGAGAGAATGTAAGAGAGACACAATTAGAAAGAGAGTTGTCGGATAAAGAGTGAAGTGATGGAGAACGGAAGATGAACCGTAAAAGAGAGACAGATAACAAAAGAGTAATGGATATAAAAAAGTCAGTGTATACACAGGAAGTAGACGCAATGAGTTAGAGACAGGATAAATGAACACACTACCGATTAAATAATACCAAATTTTCAAAGTACACAAAATGTGATATAAACTATTGTTGCAAAGAAAAAAAATACTTTCTCCATGATGAAGCAAAAGCAAAAAAAAAAATATACAAGTAAAACAAAAAGAAATAATTGAGAGAAAAAAACAAAGATGAGGAAAAATACAAGAAAAATAAAATGTAAAAAAGAAACCAAAGAGAAAAAATGTAAGAACACCGAAAAAGCAAAAAAAAAAAAAAAGAAACAAAAAAACAAAATAGAAAAGAAATTTACAAGGAAAAGAAAAAAGCAAACAGAAATCAAAAAAACAAAATAGAGAAGAAATACAAAAAAAAAACAAAATCAAATTACAGAAAAAATACGAGGAAAGCAAAAAGAAACGAAAAACCAAAATAGAAAAGAAAATACAAGAAAAGAAACCAAAAAAGAAAATAGAGAAGAAAATATAAGAAATAAAAAAAACCAAACTGGAAACTAAAAATACAAAATAGAGAAAAAATACAAGAAAAGTAAAAAGAACCAAAAAAACAAAATAGAGGAAAAAATACAAGAACAACAAAAAAGCAAAACAGAGAAAAAAATACAAGGAAAACGAAGAAAACCAAAAACCAAAATAGAGAAGAAAAGAAACTAAAAAAGAAAATTGAGAAAAAATATAAGAACTAGAAAAAACCAAACAGAAACTAAAAACACAGAATAGTGAAAAAATACAAGAAAAATAAAAAGAAACCAAGAAAACAAAATAGAAGAAAAAATACAAGAAAAACAAAAAAGCAAAATAGAGAAAAAATACAGAAGAAAATTCAAGAAAAACAAACAAAAACAAAATACAGAAAAAAATACAAGGAAATCGAAAAGAAACCAAAAAACAAAAATAGAAAAAAAATAAAAAATAATAAAAATATCGATACTGAAAAAAAATTGCAAGAAATAAAGAATTATTAGAAATAAAGAATAGCAAAAAGTAGGAAAAAAGATGAAAAAATTCCAAGAAGGAAATGAACTTAAAAAGAAAAATTTTTAAACCAGAAAATATCAAATTTCAATATATAAAAGAAAGAGATTAAAAACAGAATTGAAAAAAATACACATATTACAGTATAGAAGAATTCGACATTGAAACAAAAAAAAAAGAGAGAAGGACAAGAATGTAGAAAAAAAGCTCAGTCAACGTTGTCCCAAAAAGCACAGACCTAGTATTCAAAAGCGCCTGCGGTCCAGGCAGCACGCTCGACACTGAGCCCGGGAACCGAGTAGAACGTGCGAACCTCACCGAATTTCTGCGAAGATCCTCGATTCGATACGCTTCGGGGTCACGTGTCGTATCACAAAATGTGCTCCTCGCGCCGGAATACACAGATTCAATAAATAATATGCATAAAAAGAATTTTACCCATAAATATTACAAATATATACTTATAAAAAAAAATTTTTCTACTTCTATTACGTAAATGCTATTATTTTTGTTGATATTCTATAATGCTGATTCTAATTAATACTCTAATTAATTTAATTAATATTTAGAATTTATATTAAATATATACGAATACTAATTTATAACTTTAATTGACTGTTAAATTAGTTATTGAATAATATTGTCATAATTATTTTATCGATTAATTAAAATTACTTAGTCGCCACTGAGACAGAAAGTTCCGAGAATCTCTCAGGGTAATTCTACAATTATATTAATATTATCACAAGGAAAACGTAACCTTAAAATCTCAGAACTAGCCTTTTAGGGTAATATTACAATGGAATGAATTTTTCAACAGTTGTCAATATTTTGAAAATAGTTGAAAACTATATGACCTACATAGAAAATTAAGGAAGGAGGAAAAAGAAAATAAAAAACAAAACTATGATACAGAGAGAACTTCAAAATTAGGGTCAAGGTCATAAGTAAAGAGGCGAACATAACCTGAAAATTAAGGCCAAGGTTATGGCCAAGGCATCCAGGTAATAAACTCACTGAACGAATATGTACAATTTTTTAAACCACTTTTCAACATTTCTTTTCTAATTAATATTAATTTTTACATTAAATTTTTAAAATCAGTTTTCAACATTTCTTTTCTAATTAATATTAAATTTTACATTAAATTTTTAAAATCAGTTTTCAACATTTCTTTTCTAATTAATATTAAATTTTACATTCAATTTTTAAAATTAGTTTTCAACATTTATTTTCTAATTAATATTAATTTTTACATTAAGTATAATAAATATAAAATTTTGTTTCATATTTTTAAAAAATGTTTATTTTACCTTCAATCAATGTGGCTAAGTATTAATATTAATAATTTAATGAAAAAAACATCTTTCCTCTATTAATAATTGAATAATTAAAATTTACTGTAAATTTAATTGACACGTAATTAAAATTTATTGTAAGCTTAGATAAAATGTAATTAAAATTTAGTTAAAATTTAATTTTACTTTAATAATTAAAATTCGATTTAAGTCTAATCAAACCAATAATTACTAAATTAAATTGTATACTTTAAAAGAAGCAATGGTGTAGGTAAAACATAAAAAATATATTTTTTATACAAAAAACTCATCACACTGAAAACCGAGTATAGAGGAAGTAAAGAGAAAAAGCTCCTCTCTCTATATATATAAAGGATAGAAAATGTCATTGAAAAATTTATCTTTCCCGCACGCAACAAATTTTATTACGCACAAATACTATTATACACACACTGTATATATTCGCCTGACTTTTGAAAAATTTAAAATAACCAAGTTTATATGCTTTAGACATGTTTATTATTACCAATGGCTTTAGGGATCATTTGATTTAGAAGAGCATAAAAATGTTTTACAAAATCCGTTTCGTTTTATTCATTTTTATCAAAACATTTTATATTCTATATATTGGAAAATTACCTAGTTCAGTGATGGTCAGGAATTTTTATTATATAAAAGTTTTATAGAAATTTTTTTTTACGATGTAATAATATATATATGAAAGATTTTTATTGTTTTTTTAGACAATTTTTATGTGTGCCACTTCGTATTTTTTAAACATACATGAAATATTTTATATGCAAATCTTTTTTACTCCATCTATAAGTGCTATTATTTCTCTCTCTCTCTTGTTTCTTTCTTTCACATACACACACAATTTCGGTATGAAAACATAAATAAATATAAACAAATAAAAAATAAATAAAAAATTTCGTATTCGTATTCTGCTGATGTTTCCCTTTCACTGATATCAAAATTGAATTTTTTAAAACTTGAAAAATTTTGTTAAATAAATATTTAAATAATTATTATTTGTTTTTCCATGGGAAATAAAATTTAAAAACTTTCAAATTAAAACCTTTTGAAATTTAATAATTTTTAAAAATTACAATTATAACCCTTACAAAAATAAATTATTTTCTACAATTTTTGACAAAACTTCATTTCCAAATCTATTTTTAATTTTTCTTCGAATTGTTTAAATACAAAAATTCAATTTTCTATAATTATTGAAACTGTAACTGTTTATGGTTCTTTTTTATAAAAGTTATTAAAATTAATTACAGAAAATATTTAACTACAAAAGTTGAAAGTAATTGATTTTTAAAAAATTATAATAAAGAAACTCTTAAAATTAATTTTTTAAATATATTTAAAAATAATTTTTGAATGTTTATAAGTTTTTAATACATTGCAATTGAAAAATTTCCAAATAATATTGAAATTTGGTAAACTTTTTTATCAATAATTGAATTTTTGAAAAATATAAAAAGAAATAATAAAATTTTTCTGAAGAATTTTAATTTTAAAAATAAACTTTAAAATTTTTCATAAAATTCAACAAAAAATTAATTTCTTTTAAATTATATAAAAATTCTTTAAAGAAATTAAATTATTTTCGTAAAATTACATTGCAGTATTTTTAAAACACTGAGACTTATAATTATTTCGTTATAATTTTTTAAAATTCATTTTTATTAAATTTCTTTTTGTTCGAAGATAATTCCGAACTAAATAAATTAAAAAAAATTTAAATTCACTATTTTGCTTTTTAAAATTTTTGAGAAAATTGTTCTTTAAATAATTGAATTTGAATAATTGAATTTTGGAAAATTTTTGGAAATTTTTGAAAATAATTTAATAGTTGCCAAGAATTTTATTAAAATTTTTAAAAATAATTAAATTTCGGAGAAGAATTTTTTTTTTTTAAGGATAATTGAAATTCTTTTAAATTTTAAACATAATTTAATTTCTGCGAAGAATTCTATTATTTTTGAAAAGAAGTGAATACCTGTAAAAAATATATTATTTATGAAAATAATTGAATTATTGCTAAGAAATTAAAGACAAATTTGTAAATATTTGAATTTCTATGAAATTTTCACTATTTATGAAAATAATTAAATGTTTGTGTAGAGAATTTTATTCAAAATTTTTTTAAGTAACTTAATTCTTTTTGAAAATTTTTTAAAATAATTGAAATTTTGCTATGAATTTTATTAAAACTTTTGAAAATAATTGAATTTTGGAGAAGAATTTTATTATTTATAAAGATAATTGAAATATTTAAAAGAATTTTTAAAAATTTTTGAACGTAATTGAATTTTAGCGAAGGAATTTATTATAATAAGAAAATAATTGAAATTTTGCAATGAATTTTATTATTTATGAAAATAATGGAATTATGACGAAGATTCAATTATTTTTAAAAATAATAAAATTCTTCGCAGAAATTCAAATTTTTTCGAAATTTAAAAAAAATTTCAATTATCTTTCTAAATAAGAAAATTCTTCTCCGAAATTCAATTATTTTTAAAAATTTTAATAAAATTCTTGACAAATATTCCATTATTTTCAAAAATAAATTTCCAAAAGAATTCAATTATTTAAAAACAATTTTTTCCAAAATTTTAAAAAGTCTAAAATAGTAAATTTTAAAAAATTTTAATTTATTTAGTTCGAATTATCTTCGAACAAAAATAAATCTAACAGAAATGAATTTTAAAAAATTATAATGAAACAATTATAACACTCAGTTTTTTAAAAATATTGCAATGTAATTTTACGAAAATAATTGAATTTCTTTAAATAATTTCTGTACAATTTAAAACAAAAACTAATTTTTTGTTAAATTTTAATAAAAAATGTTGAACATGATTGTTTTCTCCAAAGTGTTAAAAATAATTCTAAAAAATGTTAATGTTATTATTTTTTTTTACGAATTTGAAACTTCGGAAATATGTAATCGAAATTATTGAAAATAATTGAATTTTAAAAACATAAAAGGAAACAATTCTATAAGTATTACTTTTTTCAAAAATATTTTAATATAATTTTTAGAAGCTACTTTTCATTGATTTTCATATTTATAAATTTACACTTGAAGATTTTTCATTGAAATTTTTGAGAATTCAATTATTTTCAAATTATGCAATTAAAACTCTTCAAAACTTGATTTTCAAAAATTATAATAAAATACTTGAAAAAATCATTTATTTTCAGTAAAATTTTACAAAATCTCAATTACTAAAAAATTTGTTAATTGCGTATATTTCAAAAATTTAATTAGAAAAATTATTGAAAAATAATTTTTTTTCTGTCCGTATTTAAATAAAAAACTGAAACATAAACTGAAATATATTTCCTCCACAGTTTATGTTTTTCGAATCTCTATTATTGGCAAGTTAATGAAAATGTATACATACAAAATTTGACATTTATTGGTTCACTAACTTATATATAGATGAAAAAAAAAATCAGTGAAAGTTTATGGCTATCAGTAATATGACTTAAAGCCTTATATAATAAGAAGGCAATACACCTTTCCTCGTGGGGTGTTCATATATATATGTATATACATATATATATATACACAAGTCTATAACACATGACCGTAAAAAATGTCACTGAGAAAAATTGCCATTAAACACAAGCACTTACAAGGGTTTGACAACAGGAGGGTGAAAGCTTTGAGGTTTTGAAAATGGCACTGGAAAATTTATTTTACCCGCATGCAACAAATTTCATATCGTTCACGTGCTCCACTAAAATATCTGAAAAATTGGCCTTCACATAAATAGACTGAAAATACATAAATAGTCTAAACTCTAAATAAATAAATAAATAAAAACAATTCTTCCTCTATGAGGAAACAGTATTTAAATATATTTATGGGGCATTCTTAAAAACCTTTATTTTTTAATGTACCCTGACCTTCTTTTAAAAAAAAAAATGTCGGACTCCTTTCAAAGCAG